TCGAAAATGCTTGTTCAGTTTTGGAAGCATCTATTGTAGAATATGTTATCCTTAGCTGTTCGCTGGCTGTACTTAGCATGTGCATAGAGTTTCCTGTCCATCTTTCACGAGTGCCTTAATTTATTGAATTAATGCCATGCAGAGGACCTAGCACTGTTAGTAACAGTTTTACTTGGATTCCAGGTTGATTTTGTCATGGAAATTCTGTCCAAACTTGTGAACAAACAGGTACATAAATGAAAACTAAATCAGGTTTTTCCTATATTCAATTCTTAGCCAGTATATCATGGTTCACTGTTATTGCTCATTGTGTAAGTTTTGAAAGTCAACTTGCTCTTTCTAATATCCTGGGTACAGGTATGGCGAATGCCAAAATTATGGGTTGGATTCTTGAAATGTATCTCGCAAACGCAGCCACATTCATTCAGTGTACTGTTACAGGTACTGTATGGTCAATGTGCGTATGGATGTAATTCCTTTGTCCTTTTGATCTTTCTTTGTTGGCTCTTAATATGTGACAAATGCGTGCAGTTGCCATCACCACAGCTTGAAAGTGCTCTGAACAAATATTCTAATCTTCGTGGTCCTCTGTCGGCTTTTGTGAATCAGTCTAGTGTTAGATCCTCTCTCCCAAGGTAAGGTCATCTTGCATCTCATTGAATACTGCTCAGTGCTAAGGGAATTTGATGAATTCCAGATTTTATTGAATCATTGTTATAATCTTGGTAAAATTACCCAGCACGATTTATTGTCTCTTGAGGGGACGATAAATAAGTGATGAAAAGTGTTGCTAATCAACTGAGTTTTACAAAAACACGTGGAGTAAAAAGTTAATATCTAGAAGAATATTAGCAATAACATTCCAATCTCATTGCTGTCATTGAATGTTGAAAATCATGGGTTCTGGAGGCCTACATTTTTTATTCTTGGCTAATTTGTTAAAGGTATGATGTCCCCAAAGTACACTTGACTGTTGCTCCATGTTGGTTTATTAGCTCTAATTCTTTTTTTTACCGGACTAACTGGCTACATAATGCTTCATGAGTTATCAGTTTATCTATAGAAAACATATGCCACGCAACAGGCCTAGCAAATAAGAGCTGGTGACAGTTAAAACAATGCTTTATCTTTGAAGCATACAAAAGTTGGTTAAACAATGGATTTCTGCATCATGTATTAAATTTTATGCTAGATCGTAAAAGGTTTTGAGGTCTAAAATGAACATTGTACTAAGCAGTGAAGATTCCTTATGAAATTGGGTTTGGAAAATTGGACCAAGCGGTGAAGTTATTGAGGTCTAAATGAACATTGTACTAAACAATGGATACTCTGTATCGTTCCAATGACCCCTACCCGCTATTTCGTTCTGGCAATGCTATACCCCTCCAAATTTTGGGTTTGGAAAATCGGAGCTTTTGAAAATTTAGCCCCAAATTACAAATCCTAATTTAAGAACCAATACGAGAAAAGGACAAGAAATTCCAAAATATGTTTAAAAAAAAAAA